TTTGAGTGGGGTTCTCTGAACCTCCTGGATTTTGATGCTTGTTCCCTTTGCCATATTGGGGAAATTCTCTCCAATAATTCTCTCCAATATACCTTCTGCTCCCCTCTCTCTTTCTTCTTCTTCTGGAATCCCAATTATTCTAATGTTGTTTCGTCTTATGGTGTCACTTATCTCTCAAATTCTACCCTCGTGGTCCAGTAGTTGTTTGTCCCTCTTTTGCTCAGTTTCTTTATTCTCTGTCATTTGGTCTTCTATATCACTAATTCTCTCTTCTGCCTCATTTATCCTAGCAGTGAGAGCCTCCATTTTTGATTGCACCTCATTAATAGCTTTTTTTATTTCAACTTGATTAGTTTTTAGTTCTTTTATTTCTCCAGAAAGGGCTTTTATATCTCCCGAGAGGGTTTCTCTAATATCTTCCATGCCTTTTTCGAGCCCAGCTAGAACCTTGAGAATCGTCATTCTGAACTCTAGATCTGACATATTACCAATGTCTGTATTGATTAGGTCCCTGGCCTTTGGTACTGCTTCTTGTTCTTTTTTGTGTGGTGAATTTTTCCGCCTTGTCATTTTGTCCAGATAAGAGTATATGAAGGAACAAGTAAAATACTAAAAGGGTGGCAACAACCCCAGGAAAATATGCTTTAGCCAAATCAGAAGAGATCCCAAATCGTGAGGGGGGGGGAGGGGATAAAAAGAGGTTCAGAAAGAAAAAAAAAAAAAAGAAAAAAGAAACAAAAAAAGAAAACCAATAATGAAAAAATATAAAAAGGAAAAAAATATATATATAAGATAAACTAGTTAAAAAACGTTAAAAAAGAAAAGGGTAAAAGTTAAAAAAATTTGGCAGAAGAAGAGAAAAAAAAATTGAAAAAGAAAAAAAAATTAAATTAACTGCAAGGCTAAAGAATCATGGGGAGAAAGCCATTAGTTCCGTGCTTTGCTTTCTCCTCCTCTGGAATTCCGCGGCTCTCCTTGGTATTGAAACTGCACTCCTTGTAAGTGAACTTGGTCCTGGCTGGGTTTCTTGTTGATCTTCTGGGGGAGGGGCCTGTTGTAGTGATTCTCAAGTGTCTTTGCCCCAGGCGGAGTCGCACCGCCCTTACCAGGGGCCGGGCTGAGTAATCTGCTCGGGTTCGCTTTCGGGAGCTTTTGTTCCCTGAGCGCTTTCCGTAGAGTCCGGAGGACGGGAACGAAGATGGCAGCCGCCCAGTCTCTGGCCCGGAGGAGCCGAGAGCTCGGGGCCCCACTCCTCAGTGCGCCCTCAGGGAACAGCGCCCAATTACTCCCGTCACCCTGGCCTCCGGCCGCGCTCTGAGCTCACAGCCCCTGCGACCGGTTCAAGGTAACCCCGAGCTGAGAGCTCACTCCTCGGATCCGTCTCTGTAGCCGGCTTCCCCGTTCTAATACCTGCGAGCTCTGCGACACTCAGACACCCTGATCCTCTGTGACCCTGCGGGACCTGAGGTCACGCTGACCCCGCGTGGGCTTCACCCCGGTTTAGCCTCTGGAGCGATGTCCCTCAGCGGAACAGACTTTTAAAAGTCCCGATTTTGTGCTCCGTTGCTCCGCCGCTTGCCGGGAGCCGGCCCCTCCCCCCGCGGTCTATCTTCCCATCGCTTTGGATTCACTTCTCCGCCAGTCCTACCTTTCAGGAATTGGTTGATTTTCTGTTTCTAGAATTGCTGTTCTTCTTCTCTTCGATCTCCCGTTGGATCTGTAGGTGTTTGCAATCGTTAGATAAGCTATCTAGCTGAGCTCCTGCAACCTGAAGTAGTCTCAGCTGCTACTTCTCCGCCATCTTGACTCCTCCTCCAAATAATGCACTTTTAACCACTTTTTTTTTTTTTACTTAGAACTGCAAATCATCTTTGAACAACTTGCTAGCCCTCCACTTTGTTATTTTCAGTTCTTAGCTTTACTCTTTCCATCATAAATGATTGCATGAGTGATCCTTTAGTGAGTAGTTATTTGATGTGTTAGGAACCAGAGACATTGGAGGAGGTGCTGGTGAACTTTACCTTGTAGGAACGAAAAGAACCAGATCATTATCAGATACTGTAAGGGATGTGATGGCAATTGTAGGAGCCTTGTCTCCTTAGATAAGTAAGGCTTTGTAATTAATGCAGATTACAGTGACTCTTCCCCCACATGTCAAAATATGTTTTATAAGTGTTTATCTGAGATTGGGCTTTGAGTTTTGGGACCAGAGGTGTTTTATTTTGTGTACAGAGATAAGATGTCTTTTCTTCAAAAAATTGTAAGTGGATAGTTTTATTTTGCCACATTAGCATCAACATTCCTGTATCTCAGAGTTCCTGAAGACAACTTAGGACACACTTATGAGATCCATCATAAACACCCAAGCCTATATCCTAAACCAAGAATGGGATATCAGCTTTTTAAATTGAATGTTATCTTTCAAGTAGGAAGAACCCTATTTATAGATAACAGGGGAAAATGGGGAATACTTAACCAAGAAAAAAATCAGATAGCTAAGTTACAACCAAATAGCTAGAAATCCTTGTAAGTAACAGTCCATCTGTCCATTGTGCTGGTGGTAGTAACAATATTGGTACCAGGAGGTAGATTTAGAAATATTGGTTAGTGCCCACTGCGCAGAGTCCTTCAGTCGGTGACAAAAACTGAGTTCATCTAGTTCGAACATCAGCGTCATATCTACATATCTTTATCCATCTTCTATGTAACTCTGTGATCTTAGAGAAATAGATACCAGTTCTTCTACTGCTAATTAGTCTGTCCTTCTGTACCCCAGACTCCATTCTTTAACACTCATCAAGGTTTTAAGACCTTGATTTATTAATTATTTCATAATTCAGTCCTTCTCAGTTCTAACTTCCAACAGTCAAAAGTTTTTCTTTTAAAGATTTTATTTATTTATTTGACAGAGATCACAAGTAGGCAGAGAAGCAGGCAGAGAGAGAGAGGAGGAAGCAGGCTCCCTGCTGAGCAGAGCCTGACGTGGGCCTGGATCCCAAGACCCTGGGATCATGACCAGAGCCGAAGGCAGAGGCTTTAACCCACTGAGCCACCCAGGTGCCCCCAAAGTTTTTCTTTTAAAAGAACTCCTTGCATAACATAATTTAATTTTTATCCACCTTTCAATTTTATTCTCCCCTTTCATTACCAGGCTTGCCGCACTTGTAGCCAACAGCCTCCATTCCTATTCTGTTGTAGTCTTTGAAGTAGATTATTATCTTCTATTTTTATACTAACATTATTTGGAAGACACTCCTGAATCTTGAATTCTTTCTTGATAGCACCCTGTTCTAGTCCTTTCTGTAGTCAGAGTTTCTGCTGCATTCGATGTTTTTTCTTTGCTTCTGTGACATCAGTTGATTTTTTTGTTGTGTTCTGGTCCCTTTCCAAATGCTTTTTAATTAGCTTTACTTTTGCCTTAGCACAATTGCATATGCTTTTAAAGTTTACTTTCTACTTGTTTATTTTTTATCTCAGAGAGTCCGTGAATTCTGATGATCTTCATAGTCCTTCCATGTCATTAACTCCCCGAAATGTTTTTTTCATTCCAAATATTGCATTTGAATCCTGTCCCCATAGTTTTCTTGCTTAGAGTCTGTCTCCGTTAAATGTCCCACTTCACTTTAAATCACTTTAGACGCAATATTATGAAAAATGAAATCACCAACTTACACTAAGCCACCTCCTTTTCCTTCAATATTTCTATCACTAGTACCACGATTAGGGTACTGTTAGTTCCTCTGCTAGGACAACAATTAGTACGACCATTAGTTCCAAAATTATTGGCAAAGAAACTTGTATCCTTAAAAACTTCATTTTGTAAAAAGTCCCCATAATCAGTGTCGGTGTTTTTAAAATTTCTTTCTTCTTTTTTATGTTTTAGATTTACTTCTACACTAAGTTATTGCTAGTATTATCCCAGTCCAGGCCCATAACACTTATTTTATCCTTTTTACTGAATTCAATAGACTTGTTCTTTCATTATTCACTTTAAATAAAATTAACAAGCATCTTCATCTAAAACATTTCATATTTATCATTTTGCTACTAAAAACTTTAGTTTTCCTATCTCCTACTATGTAGTATTGAATTTCTGTGTTTGTCAGAGTTTTTATTATCCAGTCACATTTCACTTTTCCTTTCTTTTTTAATCTCTGCTTTCCAAAGACATTCATTTGAATTAATGTCACTGACTTTTTTCATGTCATGTACTTTCCTGTGTCTTTATTTTTTGTGTTATATATATTTTGTCTCAGTGTTTCCATTTCTTTTACTCTCCTATCTGTATTGCTCCTTCCCCTCTTTAGACTTCCATATTAATCAGGACTTATACTGTATAATCTTTTGTTTCATCACAGCACTGGTTCATTTTTACTATTATTATTATTATTATTATTATTTTTCTGTTATTGATGAGCGAATTTTGTTTTTTTCCTTTTATATTCCAGAGGGAAGAGATACTATCTTTTCCTTAATCCTGGATACTATATCCAAAGTCAGAACATCAACTCCAAAGCAGAAAGCTTCTGAAAAAGAATAGTGTCATGGCATAATGTTAGACATTTTTCTAAATGATGGTTCCTAAAACTTTGCAATAGAAGAATTGGAATTTGATAACTAAGTTGAGAAACACTAGTAAAAGTGAATTACAAGCAAAATCATTAATATAATAATTTTCAGGAAATATTTAACCTGAGCTCAACTCTTTTCAAACAACTGAGAGCTTCTAAAGATAATTGTGACATAATTATGACATAAATGATAGAAGCTTAAAGCATAGGTATCCGTTGATTTTTTTAAAAGGCAACTCATAAATGGGAGATAATTGATTAGATATAAGCAAGGATGCATTTTTATCTCAAACCTTACTTATTCTGGAAAAAGTTTAAATGTAAAGCCATAGTTCAGTACTAATGGAACCTAAGAAAATTTGTATGAGAGAGAAGCATGAATGTAAACTATGCGGTAAATCCTTCAGCCGGAACACTAATCTTATTCAGCATCAAAGAATACATACCGGAGAGAAACCTTACGAATGCAATGAATGTGGAAAAGCTTTTAGTCAGAGCACTAATCTTATTCAACATCAAAGAGTCCATACTGGGGAGAAACCTTATGAGTGTAGCGAATGTGAAAAAACTTTTAGTCATAGGTTATCGCTTAGAAATCATGAGAGAATTCATACTGGAGAAAAACCCTATCCTTGCAATGAATGTGGGAAGGCTTTCAGTCATATTTCAGCCCTTACTCAACATCACAGAATTCATACTGGAAAGAAGCCATATGCGTGTATTGAATGTGGGAAAACCTTCAGCCGGAGCACACATCTTATTGAACATCAGGGAATTCATTCTGGGGAAAAATCCTACCAGTGTAAGGAATGTCAGAAGACTTTTTGCCATAGCACATCACTAATCCGACATCAGAGAACTCACACCAGAGAAAGACCCTATAAATGTACAGAATGTGGAAAAGCCTTCAGTCATACCCCAGCCTTCATTCAACATCAGAGAATTCATACTGGAGAGAAACCCTACCAGTGTGATGAATGTGGGATATCTTTGTTTAAGTTCAGCCCTTACTAAACATAAGCAAACACACACAGGAGAAACCTTATAAATGTAATAAATGTAGTGATGTTTTCTATCATAGTACATCTTTAATTCGACATCAAAGAACTCATTTTAGAAATGAAATCCTATCAGAGTAATGCATGTGGGGAGCCTGCAGCCATAGGTCATCACTTATACCTGAACACTCAGTGGTAAGAAATTCCAAGATTGTTAATGCAAGAAAAACTTTAGGCAAAATGTTCATTTTGTTTATACTGAGAAAAAGCATTGTTCTTGCAATTAATCCTGAAAATGTGTTCTTGTTCAGATAAAAACTTAAAATGGAATTATCCCCAACCTGGTTTGTTTTTAAAAACACATTTGGAAAATTATTTAGAAATAATTTATTACATATTTATTTATTTGCTTATAATTAAAGGTTTTTCAGGCACAAAGTTTTAGTGGGATGATGAAAATTGTTTATATATCATCTTTTATCCTTTTAGTAATTCTCATGTTGTTCTTCACTGTTAAAGAAACCCCTTTATAGGGACGCCTGGGTGGCTCAGTTGGTTAAACAGCTGCCTTCGGCTCAGGTCATGATCCCAGGGTCCTGAGATCGAGTTCCACATCAGGCTCCTTGCTTGTCAGGGAACCTGCTTCTCCCTCTGCCTCTGCCTGCCACTCTGTCTGCCTGTGCTCGCTCTCTCTCCCTCTCTCTCTCTCTGACAAATAAATAAATAAAATCTTTAAAAAAAAACCACCTTTATAGCAGGTTTGAGTTTTTTAAATTAACAAGTTTGTCTAATAGCCATATAAGAGAATACGTCACAGAGAAATGTGCATTATTTTCTAGTATTCATGAAATATTTTTAATGGAATATATGTGTGTGTGTGTGTGTGTAGTTTCTTGCCAAAGTGTATATCATATATACATAGTCCATTAAAAATATTCCATGAATACTGGAAATATGTGTATATATATACACACATATATATGTATATATATTCCATTAAAATATAACTAAAGTGTATATACATATATTTTTCTATACTTGTGTACATATATGGTATATGGTCCATTAAAAAATATGTCTACAAAGATAATATTAAACTCTTCCTAAGGGAAATATTCAACCCTTCCCATTTTTTAAAAACCACAATAAGATAAGAAGTAGATAGAAGGGGCGCCTGGGTGGCTCAATGGGTTAAAGCCTCTGCCTTCGGCTCAGGTCATGATCCCAGGGTCCTGGGATCGAGCCCCGCATCGGGCTCTCTCCTCAGCGGGGAGCCTGCTTCTCCCTCTCCTCTGCCTGCCTCTCTGCCTACTTGTGACCTCTGTCTGTCAAATTAAAAAAAAAAGTAAATATGAATAAGTTAAAATGGCAACATAAAACTTATTTAAAAATCACAGAATAATTTTGTAAGTAACTTTTCTGTTAAAGGATAAAGCCAAACAGAAAAAAAGACAGTTATTAGAAAATAATAAAATTAAGGCATAAGTTAAGTATTACATTCCAGAAAAAGGAAATAGAATAATGACGTAAAACCAAGGAAAATAAAAGAAATGCCTCAATAAATATAAAATACACATCAATGAAATAGGTACAAAAATATGTTTGATGAGCCAATAGACAAACTCTAGCAAGTAGGACAATGGGAAAGAAAGGGAAAAAGCAACATCTATAAGAAAAGGAATATAAATATAAATAAAAGGAAAATTAAATTTTCTGATTCAATGAATAACAAGCCAAATCTGTTTTGTAAAATCAATACTGAGATACATCATAGGACCTCCAAACTAGTTCAAAAGTAGAAATGTACATTAATAAAGAGGATTTACTTAGCAGAGGATATAAAAATATTTGGCAAAGTTCTACAGGCATTGGTGTTTTTTTAAATTAGGGATAGAAGGAAACCTAACTTATATTGATAAAGGATATTTATTAGAAACCTATGTAAACATTATGAATAGCCAGAAGCATTCTTATCAGAAAGAGGAATGAGAAATGATGTTTGATATCAATACTATTAACATTCCTCTGAAGGTCCCAGATAACTTAATAAGAGAAAAAATTGAGCTAGTAATATTTGAAAGAACTGATATTATTTGAGATGGTATGTTTGGTGACTAGAAAATCTAACTGGAGGGGCACCTGGGTGGCTCAGTCAGTTAAGTGGCTGTCTTCAGCTCAGGTCATGATCCCAGGATCCTGGGATTGAGTCCTGCATCGGGCTCCCTGCTCAGTGGGAAGCCTGCTTCTCCCTCTCCCTCCGCCTGCCACTCTGCCTGCTTATGCTCTCTCTCTCTCTTTCTCTCTGTCAAATAAATAAATAAAAAGAAAATCTAACTAGAACTTGTAAGGTGGAGATATATAGTCTATCAACAATGTGTAAATAAAAAACTATCTTAAGTAGAAAAATAGGAAATGTGATAGGAAAAGTGACAGTCACAATATTGACCAAAAATCTAAAAATACCAGGAATAAGAAAAATCCAAAAGATGTTTATAGGAGAAAATTTTCCAGAAGAACATAGAATAATGTAATAAATGAAGAAATGTGTTTGAAAAATAATATAAAGATGTCGATTTGTTTAAAATTTATCTTTGATTTGTAAATTTAAATCAAATCAATGGAATTTTTAAAAAGGAACAGTTTTATTGAGGTGTTATTCTCACACCAAAAATTTCACTCTTTTAAAGTACAATTCAGTGGTGGTTAGTATATTCAAAGTTGTGGTACCGTCATCACTATCTAATTTCAGAACATTTCACCACCTCATTAGCAGTAATTCCCTATTGCCCTTCTCCCTCTGGCCTCTGGTCACTACTCATCTACTCTCTTTTTGTGGATTTGTCTACTCTAGCCTTTTCATATCAGTTAAATAACAGAATGTGTGTGTCCTTTTGTGGCTGGCTTCTTTCACTTAGCATTAATATTTTCAAAGTCCATCCATGTTGTAACAAGCATGAGTACTTAATTTCTTGTTATGGTGGAATAAAATTCCATCGTATGGGTCTACCAGATTTTGTTTTCCATTCATTAGTTTATGGCCGTTTCAGTTCCCACTTTTTGGTTATTGTGAATAATGCTGCTGTAAACACTCATGTATAAATTTTTGTATGGACGTGTTTTTAGTTCTCTTGGGTATATACCTGGAAGTGAAATTGTTGAGTCACAAGTTAACTCTATGTTTACCTTCTTGAGGAAATGTCAGATTATTTTCCAAAGCAGTTGCATCATTTTATAAGCCCGCCAGGAACGTGAGGGTTCTTATTTTTCCGCATCCTCATCAATACTTGTTTTCTCTGTTACATGTATATTTTCATAAATTTCATAAAGTTACATGTATATTTTCATAAATTTTTCCACACACATGCAATAGGTGCATTTTTCATAAATATTTTTATAAATACACATAGATATATATTTTCTTTGGCGAAATGTCTGTCCAGATCCTTTGCCCATTTTAAATTAGATTATTGTCTGTTTGTTGAATTGTAAGAATTCTTTATACTGGATACTAAACCCTTATAAATGTAATTTGCAATTTTTCTTTCCTGTTCTGCGGGTTTTCTTTGATGTTCTTTGAAGCAGAAAAGGTCTTAATTTTGATGTAGTCCACCTTACCTATTTTTTTCTTTTATTGTTTGTCCCTTTGTTGTAACCCAGAGTTGAAGAGTTATGTATTTTCTTCCAACAGTTTAACAGTTTTAGTGCTTACTGTTAAGTCTATGATCCATTTCGAGGTAACTTTTTTGTATATGGTGTGAGGTAGGGGTCCACCATTATTCTTCTGCATGTGGATATTCAGTTATCCCAGCACCTTTGTTGAAAAGACTATTTCCCACATTTAATTGTTTCAGCATCCTTGTCATCCAATGGGATTTTAAAATAAAATTTAGCACACTAAATATATTTGAATAACTAAAAAAATGTTAATTAGGAGCAACAAATGGGGCTTGCCCTCCAAGCAGTTCAAATAGTAGTCTGTAGGAAACAAAATAGTTGGTACACTGCAGATGAAACCATAGGATCTGGAGAACAGAAAACAGAAAAATATATGAGAATTTAGTTTATGGGAACAGTAGCATCCCAAAATGGTGGAGAAAAAATGGACCAGTCATTAAATTATATTTTGCTTTTTGCCCCATTTTGCAGTTCTCCAAAAGGAGACTGGCCACTTGATAAAGTGTTAAAGCTTGTGTGTCTCACCTAAGCGGTCTCTTTTAAGCCATTTTTAACAGCACAAAGAGAAGTTGGTGAAAAAGATCTGGAGGGTTCCAGAGCTGCTTTGGGGACTTTCTCCATCTTACTCCTCTCAAAGTGAGACCAGCGGGGGTTGAAATGATCCCTGTGGGTAGAAACCACCACTATGTGGGACTGGGGCTTTAATTGAACTCTCCTGGTGCGCCATGGCAGGACGCACCCGCCCCCACCCCCGCCCCCACTAGCCCAGCAGAACTGCACGCGCCCACCCACCCCTGCCCCCAGAGAGGACGTGCCAGAGCCAGCACCCCAACACTGAGGGGCACAAGGAGGCCAACGGAGAGGAGCGGTGGATCCCTGCAGGCAACACCCACCCCCTCAATTTATTTTGAGTTTACTTTGCTCTTCCACGAGCCTCATAAAGTGAAACGTTAGGGCACTGATTTTTAGACTTCTATTCTCAAAAGAAAAGCATTTATAACTACAATGTTCTTCCAAACAGGGCATTAGCGGCACCCCTCACCCCAGATTTTGATATGACACATCTTCATTGTTATTCAACCGACCTGAACATTCTCTAATTTTGTTGTGATTTCCTTTTTTTTTTTTTTTTAAGATTTTATTTATCTATTTGACACAGAGAGAGAGAGAGAGAGATCACAAGCAGGCTGAGAGGCAGGCAGAGAGAGAGAGGAGGAAGCAGGCTCCCCGCTGAGCAGAGTCCAATGCGGGGCGCGATCCTAGGACTCTGAGATCATGACCTGAGCCTAAGGCAGAGGCTTTAATCCATGGAGCCACCCGGGTGCCCTGTGATTTCCTCTT